AGACCAAGCCATTCATTTGCCCCCTTCCCACCCTCCAACAGGGAGGCAAGGCACTACCTACCAGTTCAATGATGCAGTGAAGCTGTGCAAGGGCCTCCCACATGCCCTGCCGGGCCCACTTCATTTTATCAGTTGAGTGCAGGTAGGCAAACTGGCAGAGTTCAGAGAGAGACACCAACTTTGTGCCAACATAGGCACAAAGTACCTATGCTTTTCCTGCTGGTGCTCCACAGACATTATGTCAGCACCCTCCCCAGAGGCTGCCAGTTTGGCTGAGGAGAAAGACAATGCCAGTAAGTGTTTGAGTAAAGAATATGGTCAATGAAAAACTAAACAAGTTTCAGGAGATCTTGAACTAGGTAGCCTCCAACATAATACTTCCTATTAGTTCTTAAACCCATTTCAAGGATTAAATAACAAAGTTAGGAACACCTTCTTGATGAACCTTATTAGAAATGCAGGCACAGGCACTACTTTCTGATCTCGTTCCTCATCTTCAATAGGCAGGCTGCTGTCATCTCCTGTTTCCTCCAGCACAGCTTCTGCTGTCCTCACAGCCATCTGACACTCTGGAGTCTTTAACTGTTGGCACATTGCTGTTCACCGCTGATCTGGCAGCCTCCATGTCACTCTGAAGAGCTTCCTTGGTTACATCTATCACTTCCATCACTTTGCTGCTCGCAGCATCCTTTGCATCAGTCACTTTGGATGACATCAACTCTTTTGTGTCAGAGAGAACCTTTGGAAATAGGCTAGTGTCAGATAACTGCAGTGCGACACAGCCCACTGCCTCATCTTACTCTGGTTCTGCTAAGAGAACTTGCTTCATGCACTCAAACTTGTATCACAAAAGAATTTGTAGTATTTCTATACATCCTTGTAAAGACAACTCCCTCTCTCTCCATCCAAGAGAATCATAGCCCATAGACCCATAGAAAACCCATAGACTTGGGTTTTCTAATATTTCATCCTCCAAATCCTGTTTTTCCGAGCATGCTGCCTTCCAGGGACCCAGGGTAAGAATTCCCACTCAGGCAGATACAAGCTGTGCAACAAATCCATCTTATGTCAAAATGCATTGTTTCCCCCTGCTGCTTGGTCATGAACTAAGTCTGTTCACTTTGAGAATACCAAGCACCCACTTGCACTAGCAATACTCCCAGCTGCAGCTTGTTTAGTTCTTGGCCAGACAGGTGCCTAGCTCTGTTTCTGCCCTAGCCTCCATATTGCAGGGGTCTGGAACCACAGAGGAAACAGGAAGGAGCCCTCTCTGGACCTGGAATTAACCCAGGTTTGTCACATAAGCTGTTTTGTCAGACTCTTGTCATTAGAATCAGCCCCTCTCTCTCCCCATGAGGTTTAAAATAAATAAATAATAATAAAAATAATAAAAACCTCTTCCCACATGCTGAATGTCTTTTTGGAAAGAGAGCCAAAGAGAACAGGACCATTAATAGTGACATCCCTCCAAGTGGAGGTTTTTCTTACAGCCTTCACCATCGTTAAAGCTATAAGCCTGGCAAGATCAGTTTTAGCATAGTCGACACCCACATCAACTCCTGTTCCTGCAGGAAGAGAGGGTCCGGTGTAGTCAGAACTGGCCGCACACAGCTAGTTGTGGCTTCAGTCATGCTCCTCACTCCTTGCTCTGCTGCCTCACACACAGATTTGATTTAGGGGTGGCTCTCCTTGGTGTAGGCAAACTGTAGAAACCATACCACATGCAGACCTGACCAAGGTCAGGTTAGCCACCACAGTTACAGTGCCCTGTGTGGGGTAAAGACGGGAGGGGAAGAATAAAAAAAGCCATGAGGCTTCCAAGCCCGAGAGTGCTTTCTATGCAGCCCTGTACTAAAGCTTTGCCTTCTGCCTGTTCAAGTAACCTGGCCTTGTTGAAGGAGGACAAGCCATAGCTTGTATATTCACTTAATCTGCAACTCACTGAAGAAACAAGCTATGAAACACTGTTGATATGTATGTCTGGTCCATACCGGGAAGGTTTTTCCTAGTACAAAGGTATCCAAAGGACAGATAAGCATTGACAGCCTCATTACTACTACAATCTTATCCAACTCTACTTCATTTGGCATAGTATTTATCAATTCCAGCAAAGGCTTTAGCAAACCATGATCATGCTCCTGTGCCAGGTGCTCTAGGTGACCCTGCGTGTGCAGGAGGGTTGGACTAGATGATCTCTAGAGGTCCCTTCCAACCTTAATGATTCTATGATTCTATGTGGGTGTTAAGATGGCAGACTCCACACAAGTCAGCAAGACACACCTGCAGCTCACTATGGCCAAGTTAATGAGGCTTTGGAGAACCTGAGCCATGAGATCTATTCCATGGTAAAATTGCCCAGGCTCTTAGAGCTAGAGAGGCATCAGTTCTAACAACAACAAAACAAAAGCTGGTTTTGCTGCTTCTTCCCCCCCACCACCCCGCCCCAGGGTCTTCAGGCCTGCACTTCTGGCTGCTCCACCACTCACTTCCAGAGAAGCCGCAGAATCCAGGCTGAGCAGAGGAGATTTCTCCTTCAGGCAGGTTTAGTTCCCCCTAGCCACTTCCTCACCCCTGCACTCAGAACTGTTGTGCCAGTTACAACTCACAAGGCATAGCTACCTGCAGCTCCCCTTCCTTCAGCTCTAGGAGACTCTTAACAGCTTCCTCCTCAGCAGGCAGAGGACATTGCAGCTGAAATAGGGTCACAAGTGCTATAGTATAGGCAGCAAGAGAGGCAGAGCAGCTTGGGGAATATTTCCCTCTGATCTTGCTAGGAAAAGAAGCTCCCTTGGTAGCTGCTAATTGAAGACTTCCAAACTGGACTTTTCCCTTACTAAAGGGGCTTCTCCAGTGGTGATCTGGGCCACTTGCAGACCCACCTAAGTTCTGTGTGGTCCCCAATGCAGGAAAAATGGAAATGGAAAAAAAAAATTGAAAAATTTTTTCAATTGAGTAGACTTCCTTATGAGCTCTTTACTGAGTAGTCCAGTCCCTCAGTGCTGGGAGTCCAAAGGCTGTTCTCAGACAGCTCACAATATAAAATTCCTGATTGGGTCAGACCAGAGCAATGTGAGATGTTATCTAGGGAGAGCATTCCCATGCCTGGCCGCCTATCATAATCCATTCCTTTCCATTCTCTAGCACCTCTGATCCCTGTAGTAGAAAAATTAGGTTGTTGCCACTTAACTCCCAACATTTATGGATCTGTCATTCATGACTATCTAATCTTCTACCACGATGATACTGTCTGCCTGTAACATGCACTGGCAGTAAACTCCAGGAATTTGCAGTCTGCTGTGTACTTTTCTGCTATCTATTCTAATAGCTGCAACTGGTGGTTCATGGGCTTAATCACCTGCAGATAGCCTTTGGTTAGCTTTTCACTGGCAGCTGAAACAGCACCTGAAGATCTCCTCCTGTCTTACTAGAGGTAGCCTTGAATGCTGGACTACTGTACTCTAGTGACAAGTCTGTTGAAAGCTGCTTTCCATGACAATGGGTACAGCCCTAGTTTTGCCTAGCTGGGGAGGATGAGTCAGTTCCTTGTGTAGCTGAGAAGCACCTTGTGGTGCTTGCCCTTCACAAGTGATACCAGTGGGACGTCTACCTGCAGTTCTGCTCCACGTCACCTACATCATCATCATGGTAGCTGAGTCTGATGAGGGACCAGTGAAACAGGTTTAGTAATGAAGACATAGATTGATTGGGGAAGAGGAGATAACAAACTCCAATGGATTGTGACTTCTTACAGGATCTCTTGTTCCTTCTTAGAATATATCTGAGCCAGGAGTCAAATTGCTATTGTCCAGCCCTCCCTGTGTCCCTGGCTCTTCTGAAGAGACTCACTCATCTGTCAGAAACATGCATGGTGCAACAGAAGTGAAGACCTTGGCCATGTCTGCTGTGGAGCAGATGGTTCTGATCAGGCTTGAAACTGAGAGTGAGTAGTCTGTGGCCTCAGAAACTTCTCACGCGTGAGCTAGTAAATTAAGACTTACGGTCTGGTGATGACTAATACAGTCAAGAAATCAAGTACTAAGTATCTCTTCACCTGTTGATGTGGGGAGACATGCTGGTAGGATGTGAAAAATCTAGATCTATTAACATACTCACTTTCAAATGCATTTTATTTCTGGTTTCCCTGTTGTTTTAACAGTGAAGGAAAAATATTTACCTGGGACAAAAAGCCAGGACAGGCTTTTTGGGACAGGACAAGCTGCCAAACCTGCAAAAAACAGATGAAAAGGTAACAGTTTATGGTGAAGCCAGGTGAACTTACTTGTCTTGCCGGTTCTGGGCTGAGAGAAGAGCAAGGTTCCTTTCCTTCTTCCACCAGGTGTCTTGTGAGCCATTCATAACTGGCTTCAATATTGATGCTTTCTGAACCATTTCCCAGCAAACAACATGACTGTACAAAATGCTGTTCTACAAAAGTAGGTACATTCTGTCCTCTGACCTCTCTCTAGGTTCTCTCTGGTACCAAAGAGCTGGTATCACCCAGCATGACTTATGCTGAAGATGTCATCCAGCATGAGTGATGCTGAAGATACTGCAAATGGAGTGGCAGAGTTGGAAGCAGCCAGGGAGGTTGTTCAGAGAGTCCTGGAGACTGCTAGATCCATGATGATCAGGCAGGGCATAGCAATAGATTGCAGGCCAGGCAAGGTTGCTGGCAGAAGTGTACAAGCTGTGCCAGATTAGTCAGATCACTATTTTCCCATCACAGATGAGGAACTAGGTCAGAAAACACTTGGATGAGGCAGATCTACAAACAAGATCTTCCTAGGTTTTTCTGCACTTTAGAGGGGTAGCATGAGTGTGTGTGGTATGTAGTTCTTTTTTTTCCAACGGAACTTGTGGTCTCGGTGGAGAGGACTAAACCGGCTACTGTCCAGCAGCAGTTAGACCATCAAGGCTATTTCATACAACTGAGTTGCTTGCCCACTCATCTGAATCAAAAAGCTTGCCAGTGCTTCCTAGCCCAAGTGAGGCAAATCAAGATGGTCATGCAAGAGGCTTTCTCACAGTTGCATGAGTTCATTGAGCTGGTAGGAACCATCTCCTATCTCCAAGTACTTTGTCTTGAGGTTACTTGCTGTAAAGCAGTCTTCTTTACTCTCTGTGATCACTGACAGGATCTTTGTCTTACAAACTGGCTGGGGTAATCACAAGTCTTGCTGCTATAGTAGTTCATTTTTGTCTTCACTTTCCTGTCATACTCCAGATTGATTGTGTCAAGCAGGGTATTGATCAGAACCTTCAAAATGGGCAGGAAAAGCTGCACCAGATGTGGATGATGTGGAACAAGAGCAGCCAAAAGGAAGTGAGGACACAGCTTCCTTGGATCTGAAGGTAGTGGTCTGTTGGAAACACTGGCTCACTAGGGACATTTCTAAGTAGGAATGGGTGCTTTGGGAGACATTTCTAAAGCTTCCTTTCCTCCTCTGCAGCAGCTGAAGGCCCAGATTTTGGCCGTGTCATATGATATCACAGCAACCATAGCACATTCTCCATACTCTACTGGCCGACATCTAAGGCTTCCCATCCAGCATCCAGGACAAAATGCAACAAGTACAACAGGAATTACAAAAGACTCACAACTCTTTCTCAGCTGCTGCTTCTTTCCAAGACCTGACCAGGAACATTCTCACTCAGAAACACTATTTAATGAATACAGCCCAGGAGTACATGGATGAACTGCTGGAGTGTGTGGAACACAATATACCTCTTGCCTGGTTGGTAGGACCTTTCACACCATCTAGAGCCTCTGTAGAATCACAAGACAGTGCAAAAGAGAAAGAAGATGAGGAGAATAAGTCCCATAACATCCAGTCTTGTGGGAGCCAACTTGTCTAGCTAGTATTGATGTAGAAGTTTCCCCTAAAGCGTTACTCCTGCTGTTGATAGTAAACTATCCCTCCCCATGCAGTGCCTAAAACTGATCAATGACTTCTAATTCAGCGGCATTCAGAATTCAAGAACAATTTTGTTACAACAGGCATTCTTGTATGTAAAAAGTAAGCAAGCCTAGTGATCCCAGGCCACCTCTAAATTAAGATAAAATGTATATGATGCAGAAAGCATTCTGAAATAAAATCATGTGTCATCACTTGAGCTCGGCTACCCAACATAGGTCTTCTCATGCATATGTTGGGGTGTAACCTTCATTCCCCCTGTGTTCCACAGGAACATAGAAGGCATGGTAAAGAGTAGTAATCACTGGGTGCTACAACTTGTGTTCCCATGAGAGCCCCTGCTGTAGTCACAGTCTGTCTGCATTGCGGTATTGCAACCTATCTTCCCTACCCAACAAAGTTAACATAGTTCCAAAGTTTATGCATCCCATTTATGCTGCTTTTTCCTTGTACTTTTTTCCTAGGAACATCCAGTAAGATCTATTTGCAGTCTACCTAAAAAGGTTTACCTAGGTCTGGACTCCTGACTGCATTGATTGCATGGGTGAAAAATCTTGTGTGTTTCCTAGGCAAAATGACATTAATGTTATTGCTTCTACTTCCTATACTGACTATGCAGCTAGATTTCTTCCTAAATCCTTTAGCTGTCAAAAAACAAAACTGTTAACAAAGAGATGGATGTATCATCCTGGCTAAGCACCTGTGTACCTGTACAAAACCTTTCAAAAACATACTGATTTCCAAGAAATTGTTATTCCCTCCTGCGCCCTCTTTTTACTGTTTATTTTTCATGGTTCTTTTTGAAAGTGAAATGTTTTGCTAAGTCCCCTCAGAAGAAATAATAATAAAAAAACTCACTTAGAGGTAGAAAATAGCAAGCAATTTTGTGTTGTGGCTGTGCTGCTGTTAGTACCAGTGGGCACATCCTAGTGGTTTCTATCACAGGAGGAACAGAAACTCCCTATCCAGAAATTACTGTTCAGATCCTTTGTAGTATCAGTTTAGCCTTTCTATTTTAGAAGGATGTAATAAGTGACTCCTGCTGTGGAGTTTAGCATAATTGCTATACAGTCAGGTTGCAAAACTGGTGCAGTTATGGTGATAATTACCACTGTTGCTTTGGCTGAACCTGCAGAGCACCTGTACTTATACAGAAGATAAAAATGGACAAAAAAAAAAAAAGAAGACTCTTGAAAAAAAGAAACAGGAGAGTTTCCTTTGCCTGGGTTTTTCTCCTCCAATAAAGAGGTGTCCCTGCAATCTGTTAAATCAAATTATTTTGACTTACTGGATAACTTTTTTTCCCCATCTTTTTTAGCAGCAGAGAATGAGAGGGAAAGTAAAGTGGCCCAGAAAGAGGGAGTCAGAATTGGCATTGGCTATACCTTGTCCATGTAGGCTGGTCACCTAAAACAAGGTGATGCAGAGATTAGGGAAGCTGTGGGTGGTGAGCTGAAGAGGAGAATCTGTTGCGTAGACCACTGATAGTCAATGAAAAAAAAATGTGGCAGCCCCTCAGGGCTTCCTATCTCCTTTATCTCAGGTGTGCTGAGCATATTGCAGGTGCTCAGTAATTCCTGCAGCAACAATCTGGAAGTAGCTAATGGAATGACAGAGAGCTGAGCCTTGCTTGGGCAAACTGCATGACCACAAGCTTTAACTTTGCCACTGCCATTTCAGCTCATTTAACACAGGATGGTTGAACTCATCTCAGCCACACTGGACAGAAAAAAAGGAAAATACACTGCATTAAAACAGCTGAGCTAGAAATGAGCATTATTGTAACAGAGCTGGATGAGTCTGTCCCTGGCGAAACTCTCTCCTGCAGTTTGGCTCATTCCTGTAAATGGTTCTGCTCCCCAGGAGAGAGGCCATGGTAGATAAGGAGGGTTCTGTGAAGTACCCAGTGTGCCGGCCCTCGGGTGTGTGTGCTGCCAGAGGTGGTCTGGATATGGGCTATGGAAGTATGGCAAACCCTTCTGTTGGAAGGGAGGTGGGAAAGAAGCCACCACAGGGATGGGCCATTGTGAAGCGCACGAAGTGAGTGTAAGTTTCATGTCATAAGTCATGGAAAGTAACTGATCCAACAGGCCTGACTATCTGCTCCTGCATAGGTGCTGCTGGAGAAAACAGTGGATCAACTAGCACCGTCAACCTAACAGGGTTACAGCCAGCCATTTATTTTATCTTCCTATTGCCTGATGAGCACCTGCACCAATTGCCAATGAATCCCTGATCATTTGTTCATTACTGCATTGATATTTGAAGACCACAGAGCTATTGGGAAAGACAATGGCTCCTACCAAGTTAAAGGAGAGCCTATGGATGCTGTATCCATGACAACAGCTCCTTCCACTTACAAACATTCAACACCAATTAAAATGAGTCTTCCCAGTGCTAATAACAGGACTAGACATGCCAGCTCTTTAAGCTGGACATGGTGACTGCAGGACACTACCCTTACTTCTGCAAGCTGCTGGTGGGAGGAGCTTTTTCCGTGACTGTTCAGCTCTTTGTCCCCATCTTTAAAATGCAGATCATAATTTTGACCTTTTCCTACAAAATGCTTTGCAATCTGCTAATGAGAAGTGCCATATAAAATATAGGGATTCGCAATCTGCTAATGAGAAGTGCCATATAAAATATAGGGATTCGTGACTGTTAACTCCATATTTACCATTCAAAAGGCAGCTCATGCTCAAAGCAAGCCACAGTCCCTGTAACTAGTTCCTCAAAGTAGATCTGGTGAACAACAGTTTTCAAGTCCTGGCCTTCACCAGGAGTAAGAGGCACATTCAGCCTCTAATACAGTGATGTATATATGTAGATGTTCTATTCAGAGCACATGAGCTCTGCTGCCCATCAAAGCTTGCTCCTTCTGCTGAACTTAGGTGATCTGAGATAGTGGCCACACAAAACAGATGTCTTATTTGTGAGAAAGTACAAACAGTTAACCTCCCTTTAGCAGGACAAGAACTTCTTGGCAGGCTGCATTACAGTGCAATTTTAGGATGAAGCAGAGCTGATGTTGGATCACCCATACAAAAAGATCCAACAGCAATCTTTGCTCAGGGATTGCCATGTGGCTAACTGCACTTGGTTTCTATGTGGGAGATATCTGGGGAGGCGGGGGGAGGCATGCACTCTACATGTGAGTGGAGGAATTGTTCTTCAGCCATGTAAAATCTAAATGCTCTTCTGCTCCCACTGCTCTAACCCTATCCAGGTGTCTCAGATTCAAGTGATCAACATGTAGCTTACACCCAATATTTGAAGAGACCAATCACTAAATGTCAGCAAGACCCTGTAAACTATTCATAAATTTCATCTGAACTCCCTTATAAATATACTGGAACTCAAAGTATGTACAGAGCACAAAAGAATAGACTCTAGCAGCAGATTTTTAAATCAGTGCTCTAGGGTATCTCCTTAGCAGCTTGTTTTATAAGTGTCTTTCCCAGCTACAGAAGAAATAATAATAACAATGATTGTGTCAGATACAAAATAATTTTGCAGTCTTTTTTTCTCTGCAAGCTCTCCAGTTTCAATAAATTACACACTCTTTAGTTCCAGCCAATAATTTGTTTGCCTTTGCAAGTCATGCATTTGCTCAGTTGTCTTCCCATTAGTATAGCTCCCTGCTCTCTGGGATCACAGAAAGTGTTAGAGTTCAGCATGGAAACACGTAATAAAGGAATCAGAAATGGGTTTTTTTCTCTCTCTTGGTTTTGTTTTTGGGGTTATTTGTTTGTTTGTTTGTTTTTCTGAAAGATATGCATACAGTTTGGAATCACTTCCCTTACTCAAAGTGGAAGTTTGATTTAAGCAGGGTTAGGAGACTGAGAAAGGAAAGAAACTTACGTCTCTTACTAAGAAGAGACAGACCCACCCATTTGGAGCCATAAAAAAAATCGAAGATCTGCAATGCTGCATTTCAGGTGACCTGTCCAGTGCTGGCACTGGTCTCTTGCAAACACATGGACTGCATTAATTTTCATCTTTCAATAAACGCAGAGCCCATGCTTTGGCATGGCCCTCCTTGGTCTCACATACCTGTAGGCTTCACTGGTCTGCAAAGTGGAACAGAATGACCAAGACAGGTGGTGGACATCCAAGATAACCCAGGTTTCTTTGTTTGATTTTTAAAGATGGAATAGAGAAATATAATAGAGAAATATAGAGAAAGTGACAAACATGTTTTACACTCTTCCTTAGAAATTGTTGGTTGATGTATATATACATGAACATGGAATGTATATATACACGAACATGGGAAAGTCATTGAATCACCCTGGGCAGTTCTGGCTTTGACTCCATCTCTGCTCTGTCAGTGATCAGGTTTGGAGCTGTTGCTGGCCTCTGCTGTCCATGGAGTTTGTGACAAGCAGGGTTTTTTTTTTTTTTTTTAGTAGATATATAGTTTCCTGGATTAAAGGATAATTGTGCCCATTCAGAGAAAACCTAAATTTCTCAAGTTCAGGGGCACCACAGGACACCTGCTGTGACATAAATCTTGTGCTTGCTCACCTCTCTCTGAATTGGTAAATCTACAAAGAGTTCTAAAAGTGGGGTTTGCAGTGGTTCATAAGAATAGATTTATTTTAGAATATTTCCACTTATTACAATTAATCACTAGAACCCAAGGAAAAAGAATGCAGCTTATAAAAACATCAAGCCCGGAGTGTAACTGAGGGAACCTGACAAATGAGACAGCAAGACAGGGAGATGCGTTAGAATAACCCATTTGCATGCCAAATCTGGTTTAAAAAAAAAGAGAGAGAAGTGAGCATTATCCTTCCAAACAACAGATCATAATTGTGGCCCGCATCTGAAACCACACAATAGGTCCTTAGAACGCTTTTGAAAGACATGGTACCATATTTTTCAAACTCTGTCTCAGCATGATACTCAGGTAAGTTTCTCTCTACTGTGAAAAATAAA